CTGACACAGTAACAGCATGTGTGTCTCAGCATGCGTGTGTGCTTTATGCTTAGGGCGATCTAAGCAGAAAGGCTGGTCCGACTGCTCTCTTGTTAAGGTTAATACATTAAGGTACATTCATATAATATAATAACTAGATAAAGGGTGATCTTAATTAGATCTGAGTATAAAGACTGATGAAAACCCTCCTCTTATAATAAATGATTAACCTTATCTGATTAGATTACTATATACATTACATAGCTAGTTAAATATTTCCTGTTAATTTGTTGCCAGGATAAACCTTAGTTATTACTCAAATTAGATAAACCTAACTATTACTCAAAGCGGTAATATGTGAATTATTCTTTTTTTTCCCATTTACATTTGTTATAGATTAAAGAGATAAATACAAATTCTCATAATTATACTGTGTAAAATCCTTTTCTCTATATAACCCCCTTTTCCCAAATCTTCTGCAATGCACAGCAAGTAAGCAGGACAGAAAAGGGTTATGCAGCATGACTAGGTACGGAACGTAGACGGCGGGTGACATGTATAGCAGACAAGAACACATTAGGCTATAGTATTTCCATACAAAAGAGAGGCTTAGCCTTATGTCACCTACCTAATTCTTGCTAATAAGCGCAGGTCTTCTTCATTCTGATGCTGAAAACAAAGGAAGAATTTATGGCTGATCCATGATAGAGCTATATAGCCGCAGCATCCTCCTTAAAGCAAATACAATTTTTTTTTCTTTTGGTCGAAAAAGAAAAAGTCCTTGAAGGTGAAGCATATGCTGAAAGTTCATTAGCTTGCAGTGTGAAATAGGAATGGCAGGATGATTAACCCCCTTGCATGTGCTGAGGGTGGGTGTGTAACGTGTGGTTAGAATTCAGAGTGTATTGGATGGCTTCCCTGCTCGTCACCTCCAGTCTGCATACAATAGAAGGCAATAGTAACCAGTTTGTGTGTGATTGTGGCTGAGCTGGGGGAATGCTGGTCACCCTAGCAACTGCCCCCTGCAGGGAATACACACAGGGAACAGTACTGCATTCATGACTAGCCAGAGGCATTCAAGACTTTGTTAATGACATGCACCCATACTTCCATCCAGACATGGTAGAGTGGCATTCTTTTCAGAAATTGCATGTCCTGCTGCAGCAGACATGTGCTGAGCCAGCCTACTGGGGAGACAACATGCAGGGTCTCTTTGGTACACCCAGACATGCTGAATAGCTTTTCTTCCACAATAGAGAAAACATGTTGCACATACCTTGTGACATGATGACATAAGACACAGAAATTTTGAGCAGAATCCTGCCACGCCTGTTCTATTACGGGAACCGCACTGCACAGAAATGTAAAAGGGGAAAGCACAAGTGTCATGTATTTGCAAGGATAGGGATGGAGATGGGTGGGGGACTTATTTGATATACCAACTGAAATGTAAAATATACATTTATTCCAGTATTGTTAGAACATTCAATGCCTGTGTTGGTGGGCTTTGGGCTTGTGTTGGTGGCATCAGTTTGATATCATTTTGAGATGTTTCTGAGATCATTCAGAATTCATTGAAAGGTGCATCTGATCTGCAGTTGACCTCCTTCTGACCAGCTTCAAGCAGGTTTTCATAGACTATTGTATGGAGATGCAAAACCCACTTGACAGGTGCATCTGATCTGCAGTTTACTTCCTCTTGATCTGCAGTTGACCTCCTTCTGATCTGCAATTGAGCTTCTCCTGACCAACATTTGACCTGCAGTTGACTTTCTTCTGACCAGCTTCAAGTGGGTTTTGCATACTCATAGACTATTATGTGGAAATACAAAACCCACTTGTCAGGCACATCTGACCTCCTTTTGACCTGCAGTTCACCTCCTTCTGACCTGCAGTTGACCACATTTTGACCAGTTTCAAGCAGGTTTTGCATTCTCATAGATCTTTGTATGGAAATGCAAATTCTGCTTAAAGTAAACCAAAGCCCACCTATTGACTGAAGGAAAACCAGATGAGTATGGTCGGAGTGGGGGTGTTGGCATGCATGACGCACTGTGGTGAAAAGTGCACTTGGTTTATTAAAATCAGATATGGTTTGTTAAAAATACCTGTGGACCAAGATGTGTGATTAAACCAGCGTGGTAAGAATTTGAATATTATAATTTGGATAAGAGTTGTAGCTTGTTGTATTGTATTTTTTGTAT